CCCATGAAGAGAACATTATCAAGTTAGTGTGAAGTTTTAGGTTACCAACATTTAGAGATTATGGATAGCCGGGTAAGACCGGGTGTGCCAGCTAGTTTCATGATAAAACAAAATGCGACATTATTTTCCGGACAACTCAATACATAATACCCTGGCCCCTGCCCAACTAGCATCAGATTCTGTCCAGTGTCGACAGATCGGCGCTCGAGCCTCAGTTTAGCGGGTGGAGGACTATACGTCGCCGAAACCTGGGAGGGACCCGCGAGGACTACGCAGCAGATACTCAGCCTGCGCATGTATTAGAGTGTAATAGAGTGTGTATTTGTCGCAGATTGCCGACGGAAACTCCCACTTTCGGCGACATATAGTCCCTTACCCCGTTTGGCATGTGCCGTACGACAGTGACTCATTCTGCACGGGACCCAAAGTACAGCTTGGGAATCCCTATGCTAACCGTTTTCGCACAAGACTTTTGTACTTCAAAGCTAAGCTCTCGTTCCAAGCTTCTTTTTCGAAAATTTAAAACGCCTTGAAGGCCCTTTTGCGCACTCGTCTTGTATACGGCAACATGGGGTGGATACGCTCGGATAACGCAAAAGAAAAAATAGAATTCCAAAATTTGCCAGGACACTACCTTGAACTCCAAAGTTAGACGAATATTTTCATTTCTGAAGATGTAAACAATGCCCCCATTTTGGACTCTGCTTGTAAAAAACGAAAATGTAGCAGAATCGCGAATTCTCTAGGAAAACTACCATCAAATCATCCTGCACGTCATCTTCCACCAGTAGATCTTTTGTTTCTGGTGGACAGCTCTAGCAGCATTGGAATCTCCAACTTTGAAACGGCAAGTGATATATAGTACCTGTGAGTTGAAAGAATCCAAAGCGCGCTGATTCAGATCAAAACTAACATTGCAAATGTTTTGGAAGATGTGGACATCGGTCCGGGAAGGTCTCGTATTGCTCTCATACAGTACGCTCTGCAACCAAGCGTTGTGTTTGGATTCGATAAGTACTACTCTCTGAAAAGCGTACAAAGTAATGCGAATGGTAAATAATAATTTATTTTACAAAATATTAACTTTGCAGGAGGACTGGAACGGATGTCGTACACTGGTGGAGCCACAATGCTATCAAAAGCTCTTTCATTTGCTGCAGGAGTTCTGTATAAGGAACAAAATATGAGAGATATCAAGAAAAGAAAGCATAAGCTGATGCCAAC